AAAGAAGTTTTTCAAACTGATTTTCCGCCAAGAAGAAGTTACAGTTATCCAAGATCTTCTTCGCACCCTTTTCCAGCCATCTCACAAGAGAGAACCCCTAGTGCAAGAATGAGCATAGAAGGAAGGAGAATTTTTCGCGGAAAATCTTTGACAGATGATGTTCTAATGAGGAGATTTGTCATTGAAGAAGAAGCAATGATGCAAGTTAGAAGAAGGAATGAGATGGAAATTATTAGGAAAAGAAGTGCTTTCAGAAGAAAAAAACTTGGGCCGAGTCCCTTAAGTAAAATGGTCGTTCTAGTCGAGGATGAGGACGAGGATGAGGAGGAACAACATCAGGAGCATGAAAGAAGAAACAAAATCTAGTAAATGTGTGCTGTTTCCTCCACTTTTATAATTAGAATTGGATTGTGGATTGTGCCTTTAATTTGATGGTTGATTACATGCCATTTTTGTTTGTAATCAAAATGTACAACTTAATGGCAATGAAATTTTTCGACGATTTTCTTTTAAGTAGTTTCAACGATATTCAGAAGTTGTCGTAAAACAACTATAATAACACAACGTACTCCACATTCAAGAGAACGTCTAAGCGATCCAGATAGAACAAATTTACATGGCTTGTAGTTGCTTTAGGCTCTCTTCCATCATTAAGCGAGCCATTTCGTTTGGACTTGCTGCTTGTGTCTTGACTTGATGAGCTTTGTTTTAGACCTTCAGCCGTCCTAACTGTCTTGGCAGCCTTTCTTGTACGGTCAAGTTTTTGCAATTTGACCTTTCCCTCCTAATTATTCTTGGGTACGGGAGGGGTTTCACAGGCAACTGCAGAACATACAAAATAGGTGGGCCCCAAGGTCAGTCCTAAAATATTCGAGGTCATAGACGACAAATTATTACGGAACTCTTAAATATAATTTTCTATAATTGTATTGATCTCTTTAGTATCATTCATGTGTCTATTCAAATTGATTTTTTATATTAAATGAGCCATTTTAAAATAAACAACTTATTTTCGACTTTCATACAAAATAATTTTTCAATTCTTTTTTTTAAAAAAAAATTATAAACTTACTAAAAAACTATGTGAGATCTTTTTTTTTTTTTTTTTAATTAAGCTCATTAAGGATATAAGTGTTCAAGTGTTTTTGGCCTTTTATTTAGGGATTTATCTAGATGTACAAAATCTTGTACAAAATGGATTACAAAATC